AATACCACGTTCCGCGCGTACCTAATATTTGCTAATAATAATAATAATAAATTTTAGTAATCAATAGCGAGTGTAATGATACACTGATAAGAGCTAAAATAAAAGTTAGAATCGAATATTGATTTTGCAAATTATTCTTTACATTTAACAACTCTCGGTTTAAGTTTACAACTGTTGCTGATTGCTTCCGAGGAAAATATATTTCTTCATCTTGAAACTAATTGAGTTGTTGAGTTTTAAAAAGAGAATGGAGCGCTAGTTAACTTTCTCCTTTTTGTGGGAGATATAGTAAAGTTCATAAAAGCTCGAATTAATAATTCCAAGATGATAGTTTTAAAAGTTCTTGTTTAGAAAAATAATTGATCGAGTTAGTGATTAACTTCTCCATGACATTAATTTGACATCAAATTAATTAATTATCAGAACAATTTTAGACCCTATTATACTTTTTATGTAAATGCTAATAGAATGTGTCTGTGGTTCAGTGGTAGAGGCCTCGACTTGTCAGCCAGTTAGTGTTGTCGGTTCGATTCCCGGTGCTTGGAAAATTTTTCAAATTTAGCAATTATTGTCTAATGTAAACAATGGTAGTTATGGTATATGAAATTTGCAATCAATTTATAAATTATATTAATTATTAATTATAAAAATTAATAATTTATTAATTATAAATACTTCCATTATAATTTTATTAATTAATAATTAACAATTAATAATTACTTATCATTTATATTATAAGTATTTATTAGATATATAAAAATTTGTATTTTAAATATTTATAATATAAAAAATTCTATACTCTACATTTTTATTAGAAAAATATTTCTATTAAAATATTAATATTTCGAATATTTCTCTTTATAGAAATTAATATTTAAATATTTCTCTTATAAACATTAATATTTAAATATTTCAAATTCATATTTAAATATTTTAATCGAGAAGTAAAAAAGATTTATGTGGAAATCATGGTTTTTGAAGGTATTTCTAAAGCTAAAAAGGAAAAACAGCAACTGCTTAAATTATCGACGGCAGCGTTGGAAGCTCTGAATTTATTGAAAATCGATATTTACGAAATATTACCAAATAAATCACCCGTGCACGGCTAACTATACTAAAACATATAGGACTTTATTTCTTTCACTATAGCTGACTGCTCACTATTTTAAGCTTTAATCATTTAACCGAGAGATACATATCACAATACATACTTTTTTTATTCTTATTCATCATGTCTCTGCGTTTACTTTATATTAAAAATTTTTTTTTAATTTCTTTTCATTTTTATATTCGTTTATCTTTATTCACTAGACTTTTTTTATTTTGTTTACTTTCTTGCTTCGTTTGTTTACATTTCCCATGTTCATTTCTCTTTAATATCGCAAGTGAGTAAAAAAAAAATTTTTTAAAAAGAATTTTCAAAACTTTTTAAAGTAGAAATACTCGTATAATAGAAAAATATTTTCCAATAAAATGTTGTGTTTTATATACAAAAAAAAAGAAATTGTTTTCAATTGCTTTTTAAAATATGTGATGATAAAAAAAAGTGTACCTATTGAAAATTGAAATCGTTGCTGAACACTAAAATGGTACATTTGAGAGGAGGATTATTATATAGAATATATATTATTTTTTGCGAATTTATCTCATCAATATGTGCTCGAGGCCTTTTACCTCCGTACAATAGAAACGAGAGACCATTACAAAATTCAGCTATATATGTATATGTACATGTTGTGTTGAATTTCGTTTGAAGGTGTTTTCAAGAGAAAATACTGTCACGTTGGGAAAATTTATGCCAACGCTCGGTTGTTATTCGTCCACAAGAGAAACCAATATCGTCGGAAAAATTCTATCGTGAGAGGAGGTGTATGTAGTTGGATATGGGATATGGGAAAAATGGGATATGGCAAAAGAAATATTCAAGAAGAAATCAAATAAATTTGTGAGAAAAAAAATTTTTCAGAAAATATTTTTAGCTTTAGGGAATTGTTTCCGTTTGTGCTCGAAGGATTTTTTAGCTTTTAAAGTACTTTACTTATATTCTTAGATGAATTTTGACTTAAATGGATCCACAGGTCAGGGAAAGTAAAATTGGTCAGGGAAATCAGGGAAAAGTCAGGATTTCTCCCTGATTTCCCTGACCAATTTTAAAAAATTTCTGAATTTTTATTAAAAGTACTGGAAAAAATTAAATGTTTGGAAGTTATAAGAAAATTCTAAATTTTTGTGTCTTTTTGTTTGCCTCATAAATAATATGAAATTACTAAGAATTCTATAAAAAACCTAAAATTTTTTCTATTTCTGACAATAATTTATTTTAAATAAATTAATTCTATTGAAAAATTGCCATAAAGTTATTACTTACAAATTATTTAATAAAATATTTTTTTGAATAATTTTAATTTCAATTCTGTTGAAATTAGTTTCAATTTTAAAAATGTTAACACAATTCTTTGAAAGAATTCAACTATCTTAATAAATATTAAAATTTTTTCCAGAAATTCAATTATTTTCAAAAATTTTAATAAAATTCATGGCAAAATTCCAATTATTTTCGAAAATTTCTCTTAATTCAATGAATGTTCAGAATATACACTTATCACAAAAACAAGGCACAGGGAACAATGAAATAAAAGAAACCGAACTTTTACACATATGGAAAACTAACTATTTATTTTATAACTGCGATACGTTAGTTCAATAATATACAAATATAAATTACATCCGACCTTTATCAAAAAATCTCATTACACGACACTCTCACATTAAGTTATAGAGGTCTCTGTCTATTTTCTGAAATTCAAATTCTTAACAATAAATTTTAATATTCTACTATTATAATAAAATTTCCCAAAATAATTCAATTATTTAAAAACAATTTTGCCAAAGTTCTACACGAATGTTCAATTATTTTCTAAAATATTGAAAATTTCATAGGAATTCAATTATTAAAAATAGAATTTGCATAAATTTAAAAAAAAATCAATTGTTTGCAACTTTTTTTATAATCTTCTTCGCAATAATTCAATTATTTTCATAAATAATAAAACTTATGGCAAAATTCGAATTATTTTTAATACATTTTAAATCAAATTCCTCAAAAAATGTAATTATTCTTAAAAATTTTGTTAAAATTCATCGAAAGAATTCATTTATTTGAAAATTTATTGATAAAATTATATGTGAATTCAATTTTAAAAAACATTCAATTATTCAATAAATTATCTATGTTTGTATTTAAGTAATTGAATCCTCGTAGAATTTCTAATAAAAATTGATTTAAACAATTTAATAATTGAATTTTGTAAAGGTTTCAAATGAAAATCTTTGAAAAATCTGATTTTTTTCATACTTTTAATTAAAAATTCTATGCAACTAATTTTTTTCTAAAAGTTTAATCGAAATTTTTTAAAATTATTTCGAGTTTTTATTTTCTAATCTAAATATTTAATTGAAGAATTTTCGAATAATTAAAATTTCACGTAAAATTGAATTGTGAACAAATGTTTTTAAGAATTCCCAAAGAAGAACTTTTTAAAAAATTTTTTTTAAAAATTGATTTAAAGAAGAATTTTGATGAAAATAATTTTGAAGAAGTTTCAGTAACAATATTCTTATATTTTAATATAAAATAATAATTTCATCACTCTGTCACCCTAAATTATTATCTATAAAATTATTATTATTTTTTCATAGCAACTAAAATTTTCAAAATTTCTATAATTCAAACCTTTTGAAATTCAATAACTTATAAGCATATATTATTATAAAACTTGAATTTATAATATAATATGCTTATAAGTTATTAAATTTCAAAAGGTTTCAACTAGAAATTTTAAAAATCCTAGTTCCCATGGAAAAATAATAATAATTAAATATTTATTTAAAAATGAAGTTATTGGTATTTTTGAATAATTTTACTTTTGAAAAAATTTGTAAATAAATGTAATAGAACATTTTTTTGAGTATCTAATAATTTTTAGAGTGAATCAGAATATTCTTGAGGGTCAGAGAAAAAGTCAAAATCAGTCAGAAAAAAGTCTGGAAATTAGGGAAAAGTGAGGGAAAAACAAAATTTAATTTTTGTGGCAACCCTATCAGGGTGAATTTTAAATTTCAAGATAATTGGTGGTAGTTTTATAAAACGATAAAAAGTTTTTTTCGGATTTAAATTCATGTCGTATAGGGTAATGAAAAGAATAATTCCAACCGTAAAAATATTGAAGCAAGAAATCATGTCCCCTTTTGTGTATGTGTGTTGACCTTACATATACATGCGCATACATATATATATATATATATATAAATACGAATAAATGTGAAGCTTTCGAGGAGATATTGCTTCCTTTAAAGGATGTAATTTTCCTTAAACTAACAGGTGCACTATATACGCGTCCGTCGGAATGGAAAAATAGAAAAGGAAAGGAAAAACGTAAAGAAAATGTCGAAAAGAGAGAGGAAGAAGGTGAATCGAGACGAGAGGGTATACAGATATATATATATGTGAGAAGCGGAAAGAAAGCTTCAGTTCATGGCTTGCACGTTTATACGTCGCGGGTAATGTTGCCTCGGTCAGCCTCCCATACTCTCATTGCTTGTTGAGGATAGTTATTTTCAACATGTGTATTTTTATTTTATACACTCTACACAGTTTAAAGTTAAAATTGAGTTATTTTTATAGAATTTTTATATTGTATGTTTCGGAGGGAAAAAAAGTTTGTTAACGATGTAAATAGAAAAATAATTAAATAACATTTAGTTTGTACATTTACAAATTTTTGACGAAAATTAGGAAAGAAGTAAAATTTATGCTTTATGTTTTTTTCCCTCCCTCATTTCATGCAGCTTTTATCTTTATTAACTTCCGAGAAGGTGATATCGTGGAAATTAGTTTTTCTCTGACATCGAGATGAAGTTGGGTTTTTTTCCCTCCTCCTCCTCCTTTTTTTGAGTCTCTTTTTCCCTCCAGTATTCGTGCTGGAAGAAGAAAATGCATGATGAGAACAGATGGCGGTAATGAGGGTACTTGCAGTTGATTCTTTGTTTCTTTATTCCTTAATGACTGGAGCAATTTTTTCCACTCATTAATAGTGAGATAAGAGGACAATCGTAAACTAGAAAAATAATCATGTTAATAATTAAAATAATATAAATAGTATGAAAATAATTATCATCATCAAAAATAAAAACAATCAAAAACAAATTATAAAAATAGAAATTTATTTCTATTGTTATAATTTTTAGAATTTGTTTTTGATTGTTTTTATTTTTTTGATTGTGTTCATTACTTTAATATGATAATCATTTGTCTATTTTTTGTTTTTATATTTCTGTTTGCGAGGTATTGACAAATTGAATCGAAAAAATGTAATTAATTTTCAGAACTATGCGAGGAATGGGCTTTGGCAAATAGTCGAGAATGTGTTGAGAAAAGCGGTGTCTTGAGTACAGGACACGAGACGAGTGATGATGCTTCAGAGGCAAGATTTACTCTTAAATATTTAGGAAGCACCTTGGTGGAGACACCCTCAAGCGAAGAAGCCACTGCTGAAGCCATAAAAACGATTATTACAATGGTAAGCGTTTGTTGTCCTTTCAAAGTAAAATATAAACGAGAAAATGTTTTTCCCTTTACCCTCTTATTTTTTCCCCTTTTTTTTCTTAATCTTCTTGGTTTATTTTTCATGCCACCCGCAATTCACAATCTTTTATCCGTAACATGTAAAAATTATATCTACTTAGAAATATTATCTTAATTTGTAAATACAAATTAAGATAATATTTCTAAGTAGATATAATTTTTACATGTTTTTACATTGAAAATTAAACCCATTTAATTGAAAATTGGTTTTATTTTTATTTATTCTTAGTCATAGTCAAAAAGAACTCTCTTTATTTTTGATGATATTGTTCGTGTGAATCTTATCGCGAAGGATACAATTTGGATTTAATTGGTCCCCAAACGTGTGCCAAACTCATTAAAAAGACAAATGCAATGGATGTAAATTATGATAAAACAGTTGATCTTGGGGGAAACAAGGCTATAAATTAGTTGGCAAAGTGCCTATCTTGTGTGACCTCTCTTGCTTCTTATTCTATAAGGACAATAAAGATTTTATAAATCTTTCGACTTTTTTCTAATTTCAAAATTGTTTGAAATTTCAAAATCTTTTTGTCTTCTGGAACAAAAATATTGATATTTAATCAGGTTCTTATATTTTTCTCCCGGATTTTGTATGTCCCAATTAGTGAACTACTAAAACTTTTATTGAACTGTCATCAAAAAAATGTCCTCTTTGTTCTTTTATAAAAAGTTTCTGTGAAAGAAAGATTCATCACTTTTTTGAAAAATAAAAGTCACTGGATTCAATTTGAACAGCACTTTTTCATCAATTTTTCTTTTAATTTTGTATTGTATTAGAAATGGGAACATTGTTAGTTGAAAAAGGAGAAAAAAATCTGTTAAAATTCTGAATGGAAATTTACAATCTTTGTGGAAAAATATAAATTCTAAAACACTAAAAAGAAAGGTACGAATTTAGTACCAATTTGTCTTAATTTTAATACCGAAATCAGCTCTAATTTAGAATCATTTTTTTACAGTGTAAGTTTAGACGAGAAAATGTAGTTTTGATAAAGAATTTTTTTTTGGTAGAAACAAGGAAACAATTTTCTGTAATTGAAATGACACTTGGTGTCTAATTATTTAAATACACCACCCCTTGTCTCCCCCTGTTTCTTACTACTCAAACACGTAACAGTTCTCAGCATTTTGGGTATTCGAAACTAACAGCACTTCTCGAGTTTGCATGATGAAGGGGCTTTTGTTTAACTGGAATAAGGTTAATTAGACGAAATTAGTAACTTCAGGATGTACCATTGCCTGAACAGAACATTCGTACAAATTTCTACTTAACTTGTCGACCGTACTGAAAACATGCTATGCAGCTACTACGGGTGTAGTAAAATGGTACACCTGCTGTGCACACTCCGCAATCTACTTCAAATTGCAAATGAACATTAAATTTGTTCCTTTAAACTATTAGTGGTCTCTCTCTCCCTTTCCCTCTCTTTCATTTCGATTAAAATCTTCGGCTACTGTTTACCTTCGTTTACCTTCGTCTCTCTAATTTGCTTGATTAATTTCTACTTTCGCATTTGTGGTATTGTTTTGGGTAACTATTGCTATGTCGACTGCTATAAAGATGTACGGATTTTTGGTTCTATTTTTATACTATTCTTTATGCTTTTTTAGGTACTATTTTTATACTATTATTTATGCTTTTTTTGGTACTATTTTTATACTATTCTTTATGCTATTTTTAAAACTAGTCTTTATGCTTTTTTTGGTACTATTTTTGTCCCAATCTTTGTATTTCAAAGTGGTTTTGTTAGAATTGTTGACAATTGTAATTACTAATAATGGTTACTTCCACTAATTATTATAATTGCTGCTAATTACATCCCCAAATTGAAACTATATTAATAATCATTACTATTATTAATTTTAACTCCCAATAATCGTTACTTTCACCATTTTCAACTTGATAATTGTTACTGTTAGTAGTTACAATGAATCGTGGTGATAATCGTTTTGAAGAAAGGCACCTAAGAAGCAAATCATTCTATGGTTATATTTGTATTATTTTTACCTTAATTCAGTCTCTTTGTTTCATTTAAAATTAAAATCAGTATTTATTAATTATTTTTGTCGTGACAAAGACTTAAATGTCAATGGTTTATATTCAGTATTGATCCACTTTATGTATTTTCATTAAAAATTTTATAAATATAGTTTAAAATTTATTGCTTCTTAGGTATTCTTTGGAGCGCGTCACAATTATTGATTATTATTCATTAAAATTGAAAATTTACATCACTTGAATTATTTGGCGAAAAATATTTTCTAAATTATTAAATAATAAATCCTAAAACTTATTCTTTTTATAAATTAGTTATACAATTACAATTGTAGATTTTATTAAAATTAATTTTTAAATCTTTCTTAGTTTTGGTAAGAAAAAGATTGCAATTCCATTACTTATGATAATTTTCTATGATATTTATTTTCATAGATATAGATATAAAGAGAGCATATAATTTTAATAATTCCCTTTTAAAAATTTATTACCCTGAAAATTCAACTTGAATGAAAAGTTCAAAAGTGGTTCCAGAAAGTTCTTGACAGACACATATTTTTCCAGGCAAAAGTCAGTAGCAAAAAGTTACAGAGGGTTTCTCTGGCTATCAGTTTAAGAGGAATCAGAATGACTGATCTTGCAACGGAGGAGGATCAACTCCAAGTCTCCATTTACAGGTGAAGCTTTAGTTCTTCCTGAATTGTTAATTCTACATAATAATAATTTTAATAATTTATATCATTATTAGGACGTATGAATAATAATATCATAACAATAATATTATTATCAATAATGTTTTTCTAAGGATATCAAATTGAGACAAAAAACGTAAGTTTTTTGTTTCAATTTGATTTCCATAGAAAAACTGTATTGATAATAATATTAATCATTCAACATCTGAACCGTTTTTATTAATACACAATGAGACAATTTAATAATAGTGATTTCTTCTTAGTGTCGAGATAAATTTATTTTATGAAATTTTCACGCTTCGTGATACTGAATTTTTTTTTTTTTTGTTATTTTATTTTATTTATTGTTACTAGATTTATAATAGAACGTGATACAACTGCTCCCTCCACTCACCCTCTCGAAAAGATATCGCGTAATAAGCGAATGACCCAATTATTTATTGGCATTATCGAATTATCTTTATATTTGTTTAATTGCAGAATCTCATATTGTTCGGCGGACGCGACTCACGATCATGTGTTTGCATTCATTGCAACAAATTTCAATGAAACAATGGAGTGTCACGCATTTTTGTGTCCGAAAAGAAAAATGGCACAAACTGTGACACTGACTGTTGCCCAGGCATTTAATACTGCCTACGAGGCTTGGCAATTGTCACAAACCGAATCAAGACTTCATCATACAAAGGATAAAAGTCCATCGCTCACCGAAAGTATAATTGGTGAGTCAACTTTTTAAATTATTTAACTATAAAAAAATGAAAAAAATAATTGTACAAAACGAAAATCTTATTTGTGTTTTTAAAAAAATTATTTAAACAATAGAAAAAGTATTTAACAAGAGAAAGAATAAAAATTTCTTGTTTTAGAAGAAGAAAAAATTGTATTTTTACAATATCTTTGGCTTTTATTCTTTGAAAATTTCTCTCAGCCAATTGTCTCGTTAATTAAAAAGTTTATAAACTAAAATTGCTTTTCTCGTCGTTTGATATATATTATTATTACACTTGAGTGTTTTTATAAAATGTTGGAGGGAGGTTTTTTTTAGCAATAAAAATATTTTTACTAGATATATATCCCTTCCCTGTGAGATAGTAAATTTGAATCGGATTTTCATTGATAACACATGAAGCTTAAGCGAAGAAAGACACGCCAGCAAATGGAGTCGCTGGAATAGAATAGAGCGAGAAATGCTTTTTTATTCAAATTGTATGTCCGTGCTACGGGATTATAAGAGAGGATATATTCACATATATACATGTTGGTGATTTAATTTAAAAAAAAAAGTAAAAATAGAAAACGACGAGTAGATAAAAGAAAATTCCAAAAATAATGAAGTTATTTCCATTCGCCAGTTTTATATAACGAAATTACTTTTTTTCCATGCATTTATTGGTATTATTCTTCGATAATATCAAAAATATTTATTATTATTAACTTTATTAATTAATTTTTCTTTTTAAATAATTTCCATTTTTTAAATTAATTTATTGATAATCATCGAATTGTTGCAAAAAATTTGATAATAATAGAATTTCTTCGAAGAATTTTATTATTTAGGGAAATAATTGATAGTAAATAATAGTTACAATAATTTATAGTTAAAATCGTCAGTGTTATGGATGCACAAAAAAAAAGTTCTGGTTCAAGAGTTACAATTCTTTAGTGACAAAGTGGTAGCCAATGCAATTTACAAACAATGGTTGTTACAACTAGTACTATTTGCAGTTTAGCCACTTAATTATTTTTGAAAGCAACTCTGAAAATGAAAAAATGTGTATTCCATAAAATTTGAGTACAAATTTATCGAAATTTGATTAAAGTGAAGTTGCGCATATATGTAGATATATATATATATGACCCAAATCGCTCTAAATTCAGGAGAATGATTTCAAATGCATGGGATAACAGTGAAAGGATTCAACAAAGCTTAACCTTTAACATTGCGTGTTTTAATGTAGGCATTATTTGTATATCTGAATTGCACTTGAAGCTTTAGAGAATGTTTGTTTAATGGAATTATTTACTTTGATATATGCATGCAAAATCTATATAATATAGACGTGCATATAGTAAAACGAATATCTAATTCTATCAAAATTGTTCAATTTTAAATTTATTTAGAAGTAGACATAAATAAAAGAAATTGTTATAAATTTGTATTTTTAATACATTTTTTAACATTTATTGTCATAAAATAAATTGAATATTTTGTGTTATTTTAATTCGTGAATTAATTAATTATGTGTCTAATATTGTGAATATTAAATTTAATAGAAAGACTGATTATTACTTTGGAAATTTAAAATTCAGTTTAATTGAATATTTAAATATGTTTGAGAGAAAAGAAAATTTCTAGAATTGTTGGTAAATTAATTATAAATGATGAAAATGAATATGGAATTTATTAATTCACCAATTCAGACAGGTGAAGAGTGGCATTAAATTGCCATCTATAATATGGACCATTAACTGAGGATAGTGTGTATACATATATATATATATATATATATATAGAGAGAGAACCGAATGATTGTGTATATTCTCTCTCTTGCACTCTCCGTATTCAAATTTGTTCATTATCATACTGCTCGTAACCAGTGTGTGTAGCAGAGGTCTTTGCATAATGTAATTCGCCAATAGCGTTGCTTCTCTACTCATACATATAGCAGTGCTGCTTATTTTTCCCCCTTTTTACCCTCGATTATTCTTAATTTCATATTAATTATACTTCTTCATCAGAACTTAATTTTCTGACAAAGTTGTTACAAATTTTCAATTTTTTCACTTGCTTTCAATTTAAAAACTGGAATAGTTTCTTTCTCGTGAAAATTTTCATTTATTTTTTAACTTTTTTATCTTCTCGATAATTTCTGATTGTAAGTTCAACTCCATTTTAACTAAGTATCTTTTTAACTACCAACTATTATCATTAACTGGGAAAATTCTACCAATCATAACTATCGTTATCTGGAAAATTCCACAAATTGTAATAACAGATTGTAAATATTTTTTTTATTATTAATTAATTAATTAACAATATTTGTACCACTATTTGTACAAAATTTAAAAAATTCCCCGACGCTGGGAATTGAACCCAGGACTTGCAACTAGTACTACTTGCAAGTTAAGACCTTAACCGCGTGGCTACTGTAACATCCATGTCAGATTTGTTTTATTACTGTTAACCGCTGATTAATTTTTAGTTATTTAGATAAATTTTAATAAAAACGTTGCTCGTGTTCTTTTTGATAATTTTCCCATTTACATTAATGTTGATTTCGTAAATTTTGAAATTAAATTATTTTTAAATGAAGCGACGACTTGATTAATAATAATAATAAAGCGACTCGATTTTTTGTCAAGCCAACGTAATTAATTTCTTTCATTTACAATTTACATATATAGAAAAAGGAATAAAAATGGAATTTAATTGAAATTGTTTTCTACGTGATTTCAGAGTATGACGACAAGGCAACAAAGGAGAATAAATCCAATGAGAATCAAAACGAACAAAACAAGCAGAAAGTGAAAAAGAATAATTGTAATGAACAAAAAAATTTACTCATTGATCTCACTAATGATGTGAAACCGAAGGAAAACTCATGGGTGAGGAATAATTTCACAAAACTATTATTAAACAATTATTCTTACTCGATATTTGTTATGTATTTTTTTCTTCACTATTTTATTTATTGTTATTTCGTTTGCATTGAAAAGAATTTGTTTATTTATTTTTATCTTGAATAAGATTTTATAATTTTTAACTTCTTTTATAGACAATTCTTTTAGTTTACCATTTTTTTTTCATTCTACATTTCCTGGTAAATTTTAAATGAGTTAATTATCCTTTCAGAATAATATAAATCCTTCCTTTAATAATGTAAAGCAAAGTTCTGGACATTTTGTCGTTTTTCGTATTTAGTGGGTGACCCAGTTGCGTTTCTTTCTCAGGACTTTTAATAATTAATTAATTAATTTTAAAATACCTATATAAATTATTTTCTCATTCGTTTAATAAATGTTTTGCATAATTATATAAATATTTAAAAATACTTCTTTAAATATTTTTTGAAATATAAAAAAAATTGTGAAAAATAATATTTTTTTATGAATTTTTATTCGCAGGTTTCGTTTGAGGATGAGGTGACATTGTCGGAGAGCAAAAAAATTGAGAAAAATAGTCCCACGAATAATATTCCCATGACAACATTGAGGCATCCGGCATCATCAACTCCATCGCATCACGTTGTACCGAGACCATCGCCCGGATTCAAAATGCAAAATGCCTGGGGCGAATCTCGTTCACTAGATTTAATGTGCTCGTAGCAATCGTAGCTTCCGGCCGATAGCTTTCAAGACGTTCCACTAATCACGGGTCTTTGGAAGCAACTTCTTACTATTAATCAGACCAAAACGACCAAACAATAAGTCGAAATTTTCAAATTTCAAACGGTAAATCATTTTTTTTATTTCATGTTTTTTTTTGTTTAATTTATTTTTCCTTTCAGAGATGAAAAATAATTTTAGACAGAGAACAATTTTTCTTGAATAGAAAATGTTTTTTCTACAGTTGAATTTAGTTTTAATTAAAAAACTAATAAATTAATTTTGATAAAATTTTTAAATTATATAATTAATTGAAATTTAATTATTCAATTCTTCTTTAGAAAGAAAAAATGTTTTCTATTTAAAAAAAATAGTTCTGTCTATTTAATAATTTTTTCTTACTTTTGAATCATTTTAAAATTCTTTCAATGTTTCAAAATTTTGTTTAGTAATTTTATATTTTCATGTTTGAAATTTTTTTCGAAATTTTGAATACTTTTGAATTTTGAATAAGTTCTTAGTATAAATTTTAAGAATTTTCTTTTCTATTTTTCTGATTTCATAAACAAATTTCTGATTAAAAAATTTCTTTTTTTAGAACTTTTTTTATGAAAGCAAAAAAATTCCTTTTTTGATAAATCAATATTTTAAATTTAATTAACTTTGACTTTATTTTAAATTCAGTTTAAAAATGGTGTTAATCCGATATAAAAAAAAATTACGATTTTAAAATAATAATTTAGATAAAAATGAAACGAGAGAAATGAAAAATATTTATGCGGCAACAGGAGAAATTAAAATTGATTTTAAGTAGAGAGTATTTTCGAACTTGCAGATTAATTATGAAGATGTACATATGTACTTCTATAAATAATAATATTATCCATCGGTTTGTCGAGAATATTAATAAATTAATTCGCAAAAAAACTATTTAACTATTTTGGCTTTTAGAAAATAATTATAAAAGTTTCAGATAGTTGAGAATTATTTATTTAATATGATAAAACAAGTGAAACAAAAATGATTTGTGGTCAGAGAAATGATAATTAGCTAAATGTGAATCTAATTATAGTGGATGGTGTCATACTAATTTAGTTTAATAGAAACTTTCCAATAATTATAATTGTATACCTGATTCCGAGTTATCAGTAAATTATTGTTTAAAATGAAAAATTATTAATTTTACATAGAAATTTCCAAAAATGGATGTTTTTAGAAATTTTTTAAAAATTAAATTGAAAATTTTGGCAAAATTTTTAAAAGGAAAGAAATTAATATAATTGATAAATTAATTAAAATTAAAGTTGTTATATTAATCAACTGAATATTTTTATTTAGTTGATTAATTAATTATATAAGGTTTAATTAAAAATTTTATAAGTAATTAGTTTTTATTCTTCAAATAAGCTCGATAAGTAAATAAAGATAGAAAGTAATTAATGATTTAGATAAAATCGTTAAATGAAGAACTTTTTAATTAAATTTTTCTGAATATTAATTTAAGTAAAAGCAATGTTTTTGTTTTCAAACTAAACATAGACTGACTGTTTATTCAGTAAAAATTATTAATCCAAGTTTTGATTTTCGAGAGAATTTCTGAGTTGTTTATTGGTAACATTCAAAGAGACGTAAATTAATTACTTGTGTAAGCAGAAAATTTAGAGCTCTAGCTAATTAATTATAATTAGATAACGGCTTAAATAATTCTCCATTGATTATTATAAACTAGATAAATAATTCAATTTTATATAATGTGTGATATTGAATTTGTGGAAGGAAAAGAATTTTAATAATTGTTACAATTTGCTTCTAAGGGAAAATTAATTAGAATATAAATTATAATATCTAAAATTATTAATAATCGTACTGTCAACATTTATTAATTGTTGATTGCATTGTTGAGAAGGAGTTTTTATGTCCTCATAAAAACTCCTCATAAAAACTCCTCCTTACAATTAAATTAAATTTTATAAGAAATTGTTTGGGAGTTAATTGAATTATTGCACATTTTATAAAAATGGTATTTTAACAAACAGAAAAAATGTGTTCAAAACCTAAGGTTAGATTAGAATTAAATAAATTACTTCATCTCTTTTATAATTTGCTGAAAAATTTAAAAATATATAAATATCAAATATAGTAAATTTTTCATAATGTAAATTTTTACATAAAAACTAATTTAAATTTATGTGGATAGTTAATAGGAAGAATTTTACCAATATTCTTTTAATAGAATTGCGGTAAAAAAAGTAGTTAAGTGTTTATGTTAATAATTACACGACTAATTATTATATGTAATTCAATGTAAAAAAATAAATATATGGAATTTTAAGTTCCCTGAAATACATATCCCAAAATGTATAATGTACATCGTAATTATTTCAAGTTTACCTTTTTTATTACGATTTTACGATTATTAGTCATTGAATTTTATAAATTATTTTGCAATTATGTAATTTTGTTAATTAATTTTATCAGTTAGTGTGTATGTAATTTTATTTTAAGTTTTATTTATTATATTAACTACGATTATCTTTTTTTATTATTAATATTTATAACAGTCGAACCTGTCGGAACGCTATTTTAAAATTTTCTTTACATAATTAATAATTATTTTACACAATTAATAATGTCTAACAAGAATTATTTTCACTTAGTACTAGAATATTGTAAAAATATTACAAAGTTAAATTACAAAATAATTTTTTAAGGATTGTTTACTGCACATAAAAATCTTTACTTAGAACAACTACAAATTTCACTGCATTAGCCAATTTTTTAGTTGTTTTAATTAAAACTTTCGCTATTCTAGAGAAACTTATCGCTGTTCCAGGTAAAATTTTTTTTTCGTGTGTAATAAAATTTTAAAAATCGAGTTGCATTCCGGCAGGTTTTACTGAATTGTATTATTTTTCATTGTTATATTATTTTCATTGTTTATAATATTATTATTTTTTACTGTCAATATTCTTAATATCACTGATTATTATTATTTATAATTTATTTATTATATCACATTATTGTAATGTTTATTTATATTATTATTTCATTTTTATCGACAAAAAAAATTTTTTTTTTTTAGGCAAATTAGACTGTTTTACCGTGAGTGGTATTCGCAAAAAATTGAAAATTGCGCTGCTAGATGGAGACATTTAGCGGTTCGCTATCTTCGCGAAACGGATGAGATAATTTGAACCGATGGAATGTGCGCGAGATAAAATAGACACCGCAGGGGTGCAAGGACGGTAGCAGTTATCATTATTTGCCGCAAGGAGCGCTTTAAACTTGCAAATCGCAAATCCTGATTTTCCTCTCTCTTGATTTCTCATTGTCGCCGCCGTTTTGTCCGAGATGTTTGCAAGAAACATCCGGATGTTTTGTGAAAAAGCGCGAGTTCAAAAACACATTACAACATTACATGTAATTGTTTACGTTTTCTTATTCATCGATCGACATCATCTCGACAACTTGATGAAATGCAAAATTTTCTGATGTAAAGAAGAGAAAAATCTGCTTTACCTGGAGACGAGCCTGGAGATTATATACATCGACACATACAACAATCGAAATGGTATGTATTCATGTGACCTCAAAGTAAATGTAATGTGCATGACATGTATTTAACACTCGGTTTACATATTCACTGTAATTATTGACAAACATTGCACGTGTCCATTGTTATGGGCACGTGCTTTAATGCCAACAATTGAATGCGAATATCGTTTAATGAGGAAAGGTCCATTTTCCTCTTTCTCTCTCTTGTGAATAATGTGATTTGGCAAATGTATTCGGTAGTCCTTTGGCATTGATTTTGACTTTTTCTTGTTCTTTTTTCAAGACAAGTGCCAAAAAAGAAAGGAAACTCCAAACGTATAAAGTACAGGAGAAAGTGTGAAAAATATTCGTTGGGAGAAGAAGACGTACTTTGGTAGATTGTATTTAATTAGTGGAGAAAGCTTTTCATGGTTCTGATCGAAGTTGAAGGGAAATAATTTCGGTAAGTGGTTTTTATGTATTTTTCTGTAAAGTGACTTTTTAATTTAATTCACTTTCTGTACGAAACGAAATTCTGTTTAACTGACGAGTCGATAAAACACAACCGGCTTGGTCAGTCACGTGGATTTGTCAGGTCAATTATAGGACCATGATTGGTGGAATGTTGATCTAACTTGGACCCAATAGTTGGACCCTGTCATTATTTATTTTTTTTAGTTAATTGAAACAATATTTTTCCAAGACTTGTGCATTATTCACTTTTTTCCCAAAAAAATTAGTTTTGATTTTTTTATTAATTCTTCTTGGCCCTTCTCTTAAATGAACAGAAAAGTTTTTTTAGAGAAATTGAACCTGACCGTTTTCATTTTGAAACGAAATATTGGCATATTCAGCACGTCCGTTCCAATTCGCTTCAAATACAATTTACTGCCAGAAGTTATAATTAATATCTTCCTTTTGCTTCTATTCCATGAGCAAGAAATTCATTTTCAACTTATACGTACATTACAATATACGTATTCACTATTCAATGAGTCTGTGAATATTAAAATGTCAGTTGAGTAAAAATAACAGATGCTTCAGACACACACGTTATAAAATTCTACATTATCACAAAACGGAAAATTATATAATCGAATTTATTCAATTAACTTTCATTCATTTCTCGCGCAATTCTCTCGAAACTGAATTTATATTGCGAAACTATATTACTACTATATTTTATTATAATTTTATTTATTACAATTGAATATTTTTGGAAGCCGCATAAATAATGATGATAGTAGGAATAATGAAATTATTGGTATTAATAGTATTACTATTCTTATTTTTATTTCTTAATATTATTCCTATTGTTTCTATTTGCAGGCATCACAGAATTAAATTGAAATGATGAAAATAATTTTGAAGAAGTTACAGTAAAATTATTTCTTATAGTACAAAATAATGATCTTATCATTCGGTCATGTTTTATAATAATATTCTCATAAATTGTTGAATTTAAAAAAGATTTGAATTTGAAACTCCTAATGTTTTGAAAATCTTAATTCACATGGAAAAATAATTAAATATTTTTTTAAAAAAGAAGTTATTGCTGTTTTCGAATAATTTTACAATTAAAGAAATTCGTAATTATTTTAATTTCTGATGGAAAAAGTTTAGCCCTATACATGAAGATAATAAATTGGCTCTAATTTGGTCTAGAAATGCATTAATTTAGAAACAATGGGTTTAAATTCAAAATTGCGTGACGAATAACAATTAATCTTGATATAAACGAAACAAAGATTACTAAATGTGAGAGCGTCGTTGCAATTATGCAATGTAAACGGAATTGTTACATTTTCAATTTGCGGCGAAACGCATTTTTATTCTTTACATTATATTTATTTTTTTCCTCTTAATTATCACACTCGAGTGATCTGTCATTTATAAAGGGCTTGTACTTTTGCATTCATGTTGCATAATGACAGTAATTTTTTTCGAGACTAGAATTTTTATTCTCTATTATATATTATTTAGTGATAAAAGAAATAGGAAAAGAAAAATAGAATAAAATTTCGAAAAAGTTGATATTTATTCAGAGTCGGTATTTTTCGTATATCAAAATAAAAATTATTTATCATATATCGAGATAAAATTTCATATGTTGTATAGAAAGAATCGTTTTTGAATCCTCGTGTGAAAGATGAAAATTGAGAGATCCGAGAATGCGGGACCAGTATCACTATTACAATAGTGTGTAATAAAAACTTTTCTAGGTGAAGATGAATTACGTGGAGTGCTGAAAATTGCGTTCGCGAATTTGTGTGCAAACTTCTTTGAAATCGATACACGTAACTTTTGAGTAGTTTTTAAAACTCCACCTATTGCGTGTTTTCCTTGAGAAATTGGTCAATATTGCCCAACATTTAGGATACGGCATTAATTTATAAAAATTTATAAAAAATCAAAATTTTATAGGTACTTATTAAAAAATGAATTACTGAACAAATTAAAATTATCGAAAATACAGTTTTCAGTTGATGTTCAAAAATATCACTGTAAACTTTAAAATATCAAATTGCAACGAATTGATACAAAAAATGTGGATCAAATTAAAAATTGATTGAGTAAATTAAAAAGTATATATTTCGTTTGTTTTATTTATCGGGATAGGAAAAAAACCAGAAAAAAACGCGTACACTGAAGCAGGGAATTATAATGAGAGTAGATTTCGGAAATTTCTCGTTAATTTTATCGCAGTGAGTTGAATTTCGTAGGATATTATCGACATAATCCCAACAGAGTGCCGTTAGTGCATCATCCAACCTACTTGTGGTGAATGTAATAGGATTCGTAACATAAATCCCACACGCGAAATAGTATTTTCTACGATTGGCCAATTGCTTTGCATCATGTCCCGAAACTTTTATGTAATTCTTTAATATAAATTTTATATATACTATATGTTCGCATGCCTAAGTGCATTGCCCGTTTTTATTACTCTCAATATTTCCACATTCTCGAACCATTATTTCAATCCATTTACATAACATCCAGTTAACAAAAAACAGGGTTTTATCGTTAAATAAAACTAATTAAAATTTTCTTCCTCGAATTTTAGAAAATCCAGTTCTGCACTCTCTAAATTTGAATTAGTAAAAATGTTTACTAATTTGAATTAGTGACTGACTTTTTGCTTTTGAATTAGTAAATTTTACTAATAAATAGTTATTTGTACTTATGAAATTTACTAATTCAAAAGCAAAAAGTCAGTCACTAATTCAAATTAGTAAACATTTTTACTAATTCAAATTTAGAGAGCAATTTTTAATTAATTTTTCTTTCTATGATTTCTACAGTTATTTACAGAAGCCAAAAATTATTTCTTTAAGGGGACCCACACCTGGATTTTCAACTATCTAAGAACATAGTTCAAAACAATTTTTTTACATTATTTTCAGTCTAAAGTCAAGTGCAAAAGGCAAGATGGTTTTATGAAATTTTAATTATATCAAAAGTTACAGTGTTTTTAATTATGTTTTGATACAGTTTAAATTCAGGTGCGGGTCCCCTTAAAGTTATTGAACATATGGCTATGAATACAGTAGTTTAGTAATTAAATTCTCATTTAGAAATTAGAAGGCGAGTGGCTTAGTGGTTATAGTGTATAGGTCTAGTGTGCCTTAGGTTCCGAGTTCAATTCCCGCGAGTGTTCAGTATTTTTATTTCTGTTTAACACTTAAAAAAACTATTTAAAATAAAGATAGTTAAAGTAACAAAAACTCGAGAAATTGAAAATATATTTCCCCTTTAATTTCATTATTTCTTAAACAGAAATTCCAAGGACAGACTTCCAAGTTCGGACCAAACTAGACTCACTTTAAAAAGTATTTCAAAACAAATATTTTCGTTTTTATTTTCGCAAAAAAAAAATAATTTTTACGGAACGTTGAATTAAAAATTGTGTGTAATTATTGTTTACAATTTATGCATCGTGTATTCAATGATGGCAAACACACTCACGCACGCACACATTAATATATAATAAATTAAACAAGCGGTTTTGTGCCTGGAAGTAATTCCCCTGATAATGACTGTTATTCTGTGAACAGACAGGAACCTAGTCACCAAAACCACTTGGACGAATAGTTATTTAATTGCTCACTATAGAGAGTGCAATTTCGTTGGTCATTTGACTCAGATTGAGTGTGTGCATATCCAAAAGAGAGGCGGACACTTTCCCATTCACGCATGTGATATCATTTTATGCCCATTTGTGTATATCATCGCGCATATGAACACTATTTCCGGGATATTATTCCCCTCCCCTCCCCTCCCCGTCCATTATTTTACCACGAGAACGGAAATAGCCGAATTTTCATTGTTTCCTATACTTCATATAGTTATATCGTTAAAACTATTATCAAATTGTGCAGATAATTATTTTTACGTTCAGATCTGAATAATTCGGACGAATAACAGCTTTTATTCACTTTTCAAACATGGTTAATTGCTTTTTCTTCTTTTCTTTCGTTACTCTTTTTTTTATTCGTTATACTTGATCTCTGTTTTGTTTTAATTAATTTAATTATACGAATAGGGAAAGAGATATTTTAGACTATAAAATCTATTTCTAATTAACTAAGTTTTGTTCTGGATCGTTGAATCCAGTCTCTGTACCTTTGTGCACATAGTAATTAGTTTTCTCTCAAAAACGTTGTTACTGTGGGAACAACAATTTTAGACGAGTCTGGACTCCATTTCACTTTAACTTCAACCATCTGATATATATACATTCAAAACTGTGAATCCACTTTTGGCTTAATTTTCTTTCTCCTTTTTGTATAACAGTTGATAAAATTTATTTCTTCCGTTTGTTCTTTTTAATTTTTCTTATATAGATGGTACATGGTTAAAATTGAGCGAAAAAATTTTATAAATGATATAAATTGGTTTTTTTTGGGAGGGCAGCAGGAGGAGGAAATGGTGTTTGAATAAAGTTAGTCTGTATGCATGTATAGTGCATGCTGCACTGCACCAACTGATAAGCTGTTTTTGACTCTCAGGAGAATACTGATTATCACTCCGTTCGCTTTTACGTGTGACGTATCTCAATTTTTTTTGTACCTACTTTATCTCGGAATGTAATAAACTTCTGTTCTTTTGTGTTCACTATTGTCATACACGTTAATACTAATTAATTTTAATATAATCATAAATTATTTAATATTTATTTAGTTATTTTTTTCGCCAAAACAAGTATTTTCTTTATTGTTTGGTTTATTTCATCTATTTTTTGTTTCTTATTTTGTTTATATTGTTTAACATAAAGAGAGAGAGAGAAAATAAAAAGATTTTTCTTCCTTGAGCTAGTTCGAACTCAGAATGTTGATACTCGTTTGACACTAAATCGTTAGAAGAAGAAGAAGAAGAAGAAGGAGGAGGAGGAGGAGAAGAATACAAAAAAAGAGTAAGAATCTCAGCTCTCTGCCGTGGTTCAAAAAGCACTGAATTTCCACCGGTAAATCCCTGGAGACTAGGGATAAAGAAAAGCGTTCAAAAGGAAGCAGGAAAAGTGGTTGCTACCGTATTTTTTTGTCGGAGAAATGCACAATAATTTCAACTGTACATTTATACTATGATGTATATATGGATTCACATTTTCAAAGACAGTTTTCATTTCTTCATGCTGGTGCTTTGTCTCTCGTTTTAAAATATATTAAATTTATAATGTTCCATTAGCATAACTATTTATTATTTGTGTTTCAACAATGGAAGAAGTATTAGTATTTAAATTTTTGAGATTCACGACATTTGGATGTTTCTATTATTTGCATTTTTATAATAATAGCATTTTTCCATAGAAATTTTTGTCCCAAAGCCCACACGGAGGGAAGTTTGAACCTAGAATCATTGTGTGATCAGTTAAGACCAATTAAGATCATTTTTTAAAAGTAGAATTTATTCAAATTCGGCAAAAACTAGATCCAGATTTGGCAGAGAGTTTCAGAACCGAATTGAGACCAAGTATGAAAATTTTCTTATACTTCAAGAACTGGAAAATATTTAGATTCAATTTTGAATAGATGCGTCGATAAAAGTTTTGAAAACTTAGAAATTCTGTTGGAGTTTCCTTTAACGGCATTATGGGGAGGAAGAGGATATTAAAGGAGGAGGAGAGAGGCTGTTTTAGCAAGCTGGCGCAAAATGTGATATAAATTATAAGTATACAGGTAGCTTGTGCTATAGTCATATTATGTCAGGCCGATCGTTGATTCTGGGTTTATGCCACTCGCGCGCATTTGCGGTAAATGGCACCAGCCATAATCGTTGATTCTAGGTTCACAACACACGCGCACTTGCGGCTAGTTCCGTTATTTGTTACAGTAAATAGCAGATTGGACAGTGCAATGCGACAATACAATGTTGCCAAGATTGTTTCTGATTCAATCCTAAATCATCATTTTTTTCCGAAATAAAACAACAACAAGTGTTGTTACTTTCCACAAATACTTGTATTTGAAAATACTGCCGATTTCAGATTGTTGTTTGAAAGGTTTCCTATATTTTTATATAGTGATTTCGATCTCTGTTATGATTATATTTTTTTTGTTTGAACAAGAGAAGAGGAGGGAGAATGTAAATTGGCCTGTTTCCAAGGTAGCTAGTCAGCGAATTAGAAATGAGAAGTGCTTCCTACTTTTTTGGAATATATTTGCCAAAAGGAAGAAGTGTTTTTTATATTGCTACGGATGCAAATTTTGTTGTTCTAAAAACATGTTTTATTTTGTTAGTTGGGTTAGGTTTCTTAACATGTTACTACTACGTGTTACCACTTCGTGTTCAGTACTGCGTAGATACTGTAGAGATAATGTTTCATATTAGATTCAAATAATGTTCCTAAAAAGTATTTATCAAGAGTAGCCAGAAGATGCGTTTTGGTAACCAAATGATGCATAATAAAAACATTTAAAAAAGTCTTCAATAACGAAATGTCTATTTTAGTTTCGGTGCATGGGTTAATTCAATTTCAATCGTAAAATTAATTAATAAATCAAAGAAATAGCAGACACGTATGGAACAAAAAGTAAAAATTCTCGTATATTGTGCAATGGGAAATATTTACGAACGTCACTTTTGAAAATATACTTCCATCTATTACGTGTATATGTGTTTATATCGGGATATATGTATATGTTTAGATCATATACCATGCTTTGAGAAATGGATGCAGCAGAAAAGAATTTATTTGCATTTTCACATTGAAAATTCAGTCAATACTTCTTATCATCAGCACGTTTCGTGATACACGCTCAACATTTCTCTCTTATAACGATCCGAAACATTTTGAGGGCGCAATTTGGCAAACTCACAAACACATGTATACAAATAATATTTGTGGAGAACATACACGTTAAATATAGTTGAAACCACACACACACATAGGAGAAGTGATGAAAATTAACCGCATCAGTCTAATTTTGAGCAGCTATGATGTATAATGTTGGGAGGGTATTATTTGTTTGATAATTAGTTTACTGAATTGGGTGCAGAAATGAAAGTGAACAACTGAATAAGTGTTGTTTTAATTCTTCATTGTCGAGTGAATGAATATTTTTCAATTGTGTTTGCGGAAATATCGATGAAGTTACTATTATCATAATTCTGTTGTATTACTAATTCTTTTATTTTATTTGTATTTTCTGCTTTGTTAATTCTTTTTACATTCTCAGTTAAATAACATTTCAGGTTATTATCCAATTCGTTTAATGACAATCATGCTAAGTCCTTCCAAGTGATAACGAATTCTCTAGATAGCAGTTTGGGCCAAATTTTTTATTTCGGTTCATAGTTTTTCTAAGGATGTCAAACTATGTTACATGGCAGTTTGGCTAAATAGCAAATTTATTAAAGACGGTTAGGTGACAATTCAGTCTCAAGTCTGAAATCATTTCGATAAAATACCGATTTCCTGCACTTTAATCAACTCCTAATTCACTTAAACGTCATCACTTGAATTTCAATTCCGCCGAAGAGCAATTCCTTTAAATGACATTTGCACTTGTGTTAAATGGCAATTCTGTTCCATACGTACATAGATATATAACAGTTGGGGAATATTCCTCACGGTATTTAGTCAGAGGATGGTAATTGAAAATTATATACTATATGTGGAGGATATGAACGGTGGTTATTAGTAGTTGGATGTTGGAGGTAAATCTTCCAACTAGAGAGAGAGAGGGAGAGGGAGAGAGACGATTGTCAAGGGAGTTGATCATCAGCATCAGGTGTTGAAAGTAGTTCCCGTGTTAATTCACTCTGCTACTGAGGCGTCTTAATTTTCATTTTGAGAAACGCTATTTTCCAAGAGTCTCTCGTGGGAAGAGCGGACCAGACACATGTGATTTATATATTATGCATTACCTGAGGCATCACAAGGATGCATTAGACCCAAGATGTTTCTGTTGCACCTTCAAATAATGCATTCTGACATGCGTCAATTTCTAAGTACCTGTCATGGATTCAGGAAAGGTTGAGAATATCTTCCTTGAAAATCTGAATATCCATTGTCAGTCTTGTTGTATGACCCCAGAAATCCGGAGCTCGAGTGAGAGAAACAATTTGTGTTTTGTTGTAGTACAAAAATTCTTCCCATCTGTTCTTTAATATTATTTTTGATTAAATTTTCTGTTTAGAGAATGAGTTCTTCTTGGAAAATAAGTTTTTCAAAAAATACGGAGTAAAAAAATCTTTTACATAAAATCTTTTACAAAAATGTCTTACAAAGATTCTTCTTTTAAAAATGAGTCTTGTGCTATTTGTTTACTATCATTATTTTTGAAATTTTGATTATAGAGCCACTTTTCTTTTGTATAATGTACTGAACATGAGAATTGAAAATCACTCGAGGGCGAATGTCGTTTCTGATTTCTTGCTTTATCTGCATGCCCTTTTTCGAGATTATTCTGAACTGACTTTCATTCAAGTCAAAACTCAACCTCCACTTTGGGAGCAAATGCTGACGGTTGTGTGGCATAGTGCTGTGGTTCATTCTTATTCAGGTCAGGTTGTCATTCTCGATAAAAAGTAGTTTCTATCTACATATATATTCCCCACCCTTTCTCTCTCATTCCCGACGTTAACAATTTAAAGTTTTGAACATTCAGAAAGCTTCATTTCATGGTTTCATTTCATGAGTGTGAGTAAGGTTGTAATGATGCTTCTTTAGTGCTAAAAGGAATAGGAAAAGTTTCTACAAATTTATTCGGCTATGATTGTAGGATTCTTCGAATATTGGATAAATGCTATTACATTATCTTTGATTGGTTGCTGATTGTTTTAATCACTGGATGTTACAATTGCCGGTTGTTGTATTAGTTAGTGCCAATTGTTGACAGCTTCTTTCACTAATTGTTACAACTGCCAATTGTTACAATCGTTGGTTAGTATAATCACAATTTGTTAAAATTTCCAACTATTGTTGATTGTTGCTATCACCGGTTGTTGCATTTAATAGAATAATCTAGAAATAGTAGATGTCAGTTTTATTTTATTCTTATTATTACTATTACTAAAAATGAAAATGTTTAAGTAACTAAAAATTAATAAAAGTGAAAATAATAGATATATAGAATTTGTTCTAAAAATATTGGAAAAATTACCGGATGTCCTGACGTTTTTATCTAAACTTGTCGCGTGGGTTAATAATTTGATGTCCTTGATTGGTCGTAAGACTTCTTTACGATCGATACATAACAATGAAGAAAGTATAAAATTATAAATAACTGTCACTATAAATACTTTCACAATAGCTCATCAAAGTCTTTCAAGTTTTTTTTCTTCTTTGAAATACTTATTTTAGCAAAATTTGTTTTCTGAATCGTATTTTATTATGTAATAGAAATCATAATTTTAGAACTATAATAATTATTTTCTTTTTTTTATTTTGCGCAGCTTGTGGATTTATCATCATTTGCTAAATGTGCGGGCTATGGATGGAGAAAATAATGAGGTGAGTACAACATAAATATATTCTCAGATGAGTTCATTTTATGCTGATTTAATGTTGCCGAAATATATGGGACGTATTCACGGAAATTTCTTAAAACGGAAATGCGCGATTTTTTTTCTCTTCTTCTTTATATATACTGTTAAATTATAATTTTTACACACTTTCAGTATTAATGTAGGTCGATTTTTTCAAGCGTATTTCCTCGCTGATTTACATATCGAATTGTGATCGATGTTGAAACTTTGTTCAAATTCACTTTCGATTTTAATATATGACAATTGCTGTCAAATTAACAAAGGATTTTACTTTTTTCGAGTATTTCTCAAATAGTTTGCGCAAATAGAGAGAAATTACGAATCTATCTTTGGAAAATTTGTTCACTGATTCACAATTAGAGAGTTAGTTATAAATTAATGATTACTAATTTTCATTCATCGATAATCTTTTCAAGATTTTTGTTTTTTTGTTTTAGAGATATTTATAGTGATAATTTCTAGAGATAAAAATTTCTTTCAAGTTTCAAGGCTGAGTTTAAAAATAATCATTGACTGAGATATTTTTTGTTTATCAAAATTAGCAGCAGTTAGTGGAGGGCATTTTATCAGAGATCATTATATTCTTTTGTCAATTTATTTTCTTAATTCAGGGTCGAGACTAAATGAATAAAATATTAGACTAATCCCCAGTGTTCAATTTGACAGTGTCGAGAAATTAGTTTTGGCGTCCTTGTCTTGAAATAATTTATCACTTTCTCGATTGTTCAATATTATAGCAAACAAAAATTCTCAACCATAATAAGTTTATTATGATTGGAATTTAGTTACGATGGTTGTCATAGTTACTAGTTGTTACGATCACTACTATTGTTGAAATCATTGATAAATTTTTTCACCGATAGGTGTTTACAATTACTGATTGTTACAAAAATTGATAATTTTATTTACTGGCAGTTCCAATCGTCGGTTGTTTTTTAAAAAGTAGCATTAAATGGTAGTTGTGATTGTTAATTTCAATTAATGGTATTTACATTTGTTGCGATAATTCCTGAAACAACTTTGAGAAAGTTATATAATTAGAGGTTGTTGCATTAAATTTTGTTTGGTTTGCAACAAAAATTATGGTTAGAAAAATAAGTGTTTTTTTGTTTATAAGTTCAGAAACAAAGAATTTGCTGCGAATGCAAAAATTGTTTGCAGAAAATGGTGGGAACCAATGACTGCATCTCTGATCCAATCACACTTTGTGAGAAGGGCGCGCGCGTGCAGATAAAAGAGAGAGAGATTGAGTGAGAAAGAGAGAGGGAGTTACGAAAGGCGCGTTCGAGTTCACTCGTTAAATAGCGAAATAGTCTGAGTTGAGACTCCACGATACTCTCATCTATGCGAATTTAACTCGTTAAAACTCAGCTTTCGGTTGAAACGCACGTGTTTTTTAAAGTCAATTTCGTCTTCTCTCTTCTGTTATATACTTTGAGGACTCTTTCATTTTAATGAAGTATTTAAAAGGTAGCTTTGAATTTAAATTTTTAAATTCAAAATATCCGAGAAATGTCGAGCTTTACGAAAGTTTTAGAGAAACAAAAAAAGTGTATTTCTAATATTCAAGTGTTGTGAATAAATTAAAAACTACTTCTTGTAAAAAAATTAATATAGAAAATTATAGAAATTAATTTAAATATTAAAATTAATTATTAAATTGTGATAAAGACATATTTGTCTAAATGTTTCGGTACACTAGAAATGAAAATGTAAAAATATTAAAGTAAAATCAGTGCGGAATTTAATGATACTTGGGAAAAGTAATTTGCATTCTATCCTTGAACAGTTTCGTAAGTTCCAATAAAATTTTGTATATCAGATCGCATCTGACTATATAGACAATATAATATACATATACATGGAAGTGTTATGTATTTTGTGAAGCATGTTACGTGTCAAAACAAGCAGTGTCGTTGATTGATAACAGACAAGAGTATAAGTTTGCAAACTGTTACGTTTCGCGAGACAAGAATATCACGCACAATAACAAGAGGCAGACAATCAGCTGACTTTGTGTCAATTATTCCCGGCTAACAATAAAGCAAACCAGATTATTTGCCGAGGTCGGTAGATTTTTCTCTTTTTTTTTGAATAAATTTACTATTTATTATGTGCTTAAATCTGACGTAGTCTCTTTATTGTTTTCAATCACTGGTTTTTACTATCACTTATTGTTATATTAATCGCTGGTTGGTACGATTTTTTATATTCTTCTTTAATGGTTGTTATAATCGCTGATTGTTACAATTAGCTGCTATAATCTCGAATTGTTATAATTAGGTGTTATAATCTCTAATTGTTACAATTAGCTGTTATAATCAATAGTAGTTGCAATTGGCTGTTACAATCATTGTTAGTTACAATTATTATAAATTTCAATCATTAAATTTTTTTTAGCTTTTTTCTGTTAGTTATAATTGCAGGTTGTTGTCTTAAATGGTATCCTTGGTGGTTACAATAGTTGATAGCTTTCTTCAATAGTAGTAACATTCACTGTTTGTTACATTAGACCAGAATTAGTTACAATTGTGAATTATTTCCCTAACTGCTACTTACAATATTCGTAAGTTGTAATGTAAAATTGTAATTACAACAACTGGTAGTTAAACTTGATGGTTTCTGTTACATGTTGTTACTTTAGATGCAAATTACAAACTATAATAGTTATTATGGTACTTATGTTGATGCTGGAACTTTTAAGACAAAAAATACCAATTTTGTTAATTTTTAACTACATTTTATTAAGTAAATTCATTTATAATTTTTTCCTTTTTTTATTTTGAATTAAAAGCAAAGTTAACAAATTAAATAAATTGAACAAGTCTAATAACACTGAATCACAATTTTTTTTCTTCGATTGGAAAATTTTTTAATCCACTTACCTGATAAATATTGGACAAATTAATCGGATTTTGTGAGTTTTACTATCTCTGAGTTATCATGGAAATAGTTAGAATTAAATGAGCACTTTGTATAGCGTGGAAATCCCAAGAGTCCTTTTGAAATAAAAAAAAAAAGGAAAAAAATTGCAATTGAAGGCTAAAGAGATTTAGTGTGGCGATGTTAAAAATTTCCCCATACATTTCATTCCTGTAATTTAATTGCCTCTGTCGATATAACAAGTTTGATGATTCACAAAAAAAGAAGAAAAAAAATCTATTCTAAAGGGAGTCGTTAAACTTTAAGGTCAAAGTTGCTTTTTATAACAAGGACACAAGCTTCATGGTTAGCACTTGAGCACGTGGATGAGGCGACGCGTCGGCGTAATCTGCTTTATGCATTATTGAGAGTAAATTGGGGGAAAAAGTTGTAAATCTTTGTTTTTATTGGGAATAAAACAATAGTGATATTAAAATATATTTAATTAAATATAACATTAGAGAAAATTTAATTTTTATGGTTTCAACCATTTACAGGTGCTTTCGATAATTACAACTGATGGTTGTTATAATCATTGGTTTTTATAATAAATGGTTGTTAGAATAAATATTTGTTACAACCAATCACAAAGAATATTGTTTACAATTAATGGTGTTTAGAACCAAATGTCATTAAAATCAATGGTTGTTACAATCAATATTTGTTAGAATCAATGTTTGCTACAATCAATGGTTTTTAGAACGAATGGTAATTACAATTAATATTTGTTATTAATGTCTATTACAATCAGTGTTTGTTACAATCAATGGTATTTAGAACCAATGGTGATTACAATCAATGGTGGTTACAATCAATAGTAGTTTCAGTCAATGGTAATTGCAATCAATGGTGATAATAATAAATCCACATTGCAATCATCAATAAATAATTACAAATTAATCGTACAATTAAAATGAATGACAATTGCACTAAATAGAAATTTTCTTCATGAAACTGATGATTGTTGTACGTTTTTAAAAAACTGAAGTATTCTCCTGATTATTATTTGCCGTTGGTAGAACACGTTGCGATTGTACACATTATTATGCGAGAAAATTTAATTAATTAAATTATTTAATCAAGTATAGCGCGTAGTGCATTACGAGTAAAAAAATAAAACAAACGAAATTAATTTTCCTCTAAAGAAAATTAATTTTTGTGTGCTTTCTATTTTGACAATCTCGACTATTATTATTATGTTTGGAATATTTTAATGGTGGAACGTATAATGTGTACATGTTAGTGATTACAGTGAATCAGTTTATTGCTGCGTAATTACTGAAGAAGGGATTTAATAAAGCTAACACCAACAGCTAAATGTTAGCACTATAATATTCTGTTCGTTCATATATTAAATAATGTATGTACACACGCGTTTACATTATATGCTATATGTAGTATTCTGTTTGTATGTTGAATATTTTTAGAAAAAAAAATTATTTTCGAAAAAAAGATCCTAATATGATATGTATATACATATATAGGTTTGACCTAGTTATTTCTATAGAGTTTTCTTTGACGTGAATGAAGTCAATATTGAAGTATTTACGGTCACTGATGATGTAGGAAAAATTATTATTTTTTCATGAATATTTCTATAAATTATGAATGATAATTGTTCGTTTTACTTCAAATATGTGCTTTTTTGAAGAGAATTAGAAAAAAATTTATTTTGCCAGAATATATAATATACAGAAAAGTATATTAGAAAATTGATTCTCTGGTTAGAATTCAAAACCTAAAAAAAAGTTATTTTATTGGAGAGAATATTTTTCGTTTCTGAAAAAAGTTCAATTTTTATCCACCAATTGAAAATTTATTATCTTTACTTGTTGTATATGTTGTCTATCAAAAACATGTTTTTGAAATTAATATATTATTGTTTTGATTAGAATTTATGTGATTTTATTTAATATTTATGGGAATGGCAATTTTTTTGTCAAAAGGACGTAAAAGTAAATTCATGATCCCTTTGTTTTATCAGATGACAATTTTTTTTGTTCGCTTTTCCTTCATAGAATATCGGAAAATGAAGTTAAAAGT